GATTTCTGCTCCTGTCAATATGATTTAGTAGCTACAACAACTGCGACAATCTTGATTCTTACCTGGCAAGACTGAAAAAAAAAACAATAGATACAGGAAACATTGAAACAATTTCTGACCACTTTCTTGATCACTTTTTCCAAAGCCTAATTTGGAAAAATGCTCTTTTTGTAACAAATTCAATTTAGTATAATTTGTATCTTTTTTTTATTAATTGTATGTTTTGGTGTACAGTTATCTTCAAAACGAACAAAAAGAATGAATACATTTTAGGCAAAGTGACGTGCAAATACCTTTTTCAATAATTAGGGATTATTTTTTTCAATTCAAGTAGGTCTATTATAACATTAATTAGTTATTAATTACAGTATCGCAATACTGCTTGGCATCACGATACTTCAGGTGGTATAGTATTATAACATGAATTAATGATATTGTGCCCACCCTAGTGCGATATGACTGTATATCCTCACTGGTGGGACAATAAGGCACTCTGCCTTTGGCCTCGAGTCAACGCACGCTTTCCACTAGTGCTGATATACCGCCATATTGCACTGCTACTTGTGTGATATTGCTCATATATATATATATATATACAAAACTAATCAACACATTTTTAAGCATAATATTTTTAATAACTAATTCCTTTAGTCTTTGCCATAATGACAGAACATGTTACTATTTATTTTGCAAGATGTTAGTATTCAGCTTAAAGTGAAAATAAAATATTTAACTAGGCTTGCAAAAAGCAAGACATTTAACAACCATGAATTTGTTCACTGATTTTTTTTTTTATTCTCTAATAATATTGACCTTAGCAGGACTTTTTATTTAGTTTAATTTTACTTCATTTTATCCAAACTAAAAGAAGATTTTTTTTTTCCCTTAGACAAAAAATATAATCATAATTACAATGAGGAATTGCCTTGCTTTGTCAAACAGCGCTTGGGAAATTAGTGAAAAATAATACAAAATTTGACAGACGGCTAATAATATTGTATTCAATTGGATATTCACACACTTTGACAATGGGCCGTCTTTTCATAGCAGGTGCTTAAGATTAATGTGAGAGATGATTTCATGATTCGAGAACTGTGCAGAAATGAGCATTTGCTAGAGCTTAAAAAATGAATTCAGTAGCAGGGTGTCCTAAATGTCTGAGCATATCAGACACTCGCCACATGCACACGCCACATCCAGTGAGCACGAATTGAAAATACAAAATTGTGTTTCCAGCCCCTGCCATCAGTGTCCAGCAATGTCATCTGCTGTTGGAATAAATAACCCTGATTGGACAAGGGCTTAACAAGACCACCAGCTGTCTAACAGGCACCGCAGTAATTCATTTGCATTGCAGATGTTATTTCAGGTCCAATGCATCTAATTAGCTGCAGCTTTTTTTAATCATAGACCTCTTATATTTAATGAATCCGATTCATATTATTTTTAGCAATATCTGATCTGCTTTTAACTACAACATCATACAACTGTTAAATTCATATTTTCAATATGATGCTTTACAATAATATATTTATGCATTTACAGTTAGGTTCATAAATATTAGGACATCAACACAATTCTAACATTTTTGTCTCTCTACATAAAGACAATCGAACTGAAATGAAACAAACAAGATGTGATTTAACCGCAAACTGTCAGCTTTATTTTAGGGGTATTTACATCCAAATTAGGTGAACGCTGTAGGATGTACAACAGTTTGCATATGCGCCTCCCACTTGTTAAGGGTCCAAAAGTAATTGGACAATTGTCTTCTATGCTGATCCATGGCCAGGTGTGTGTTATTCCCTCATTATCCCAATTACTATACGCAGATAAAAGGTCCAGAGTTCATTTTAAACCTGCTATTTGTAATCTGTTACTGTCAACTCTCAAGATGAGATCCAAAGAGCTGTCACTATCAGTCAAGCAAGCCATCAGGCTGAAAAAACAAAACAAGCTCATCAGAGAGAGAGAGAGCAAAAACATTAGGCAAAATGCTAGAATTGTGCCTACGTCCAAATATTTATGGGCGTAACTGTATATTAGTCAGTACCAACGCCAAAACTAGAGCTAATTTAACTAAACTTAAGATTACTGTCCAAAAACAGTACAATCAAATTATTATATGTTAGAGTAAAATATGAAATTCAATTTTAATAAAGAGGAAAAAATCATGAAACAGAAAATATATGTAAAATGTTGTTTTGCTGTTCCTCGTTTCAATTTAAATGTACAGTTCTCATCCTAATCATGTTCTGTGACACAACTCTTATTTTAATGAATTTATCTGTTTAATAAAACGGTTTGGTTTAAATGCACCAGACGTTATTGTCTATATGTGGATAACTATATAAATTTTTAAAGCATGGTGTACAAGGGCTGCACAATATATCATTTCAGCATCGATATCACAATGCGTGTGCCCGCAATAGTCACATTGCAGGATATGCAATGTTAAATTGGGATTATATTCAATCAACAAGTGAGAATAAATGTGATTTGTTGAGTCATTGCAAAGTATAACCATAACAGAGTGAAACTTTATCATTTGCATGTGTTATAAAGGCATTTCATGAAAGTGTAAAGCTTCCGGGCACAATTATGTAAAATATTTGTAACTTTAATGAAGAAAAAATTACCTGATTTATTAATAACATTAAGACTATACAGTGTTTTTTTTTTATATTACAATATTAAATGTCTCTATCTGAATACTGTTTGACTGTCTAGAAAACCATAAAAAACTGTTTATTTAACTTTTTCTTTTGCTCTATTGTAATTATTCTTTCAATTTTATTTTCATTTTTTCATCTAATGAAATCGTATTCATAAAATGTAATTATTTCAGAAAAAATATAGCTTAATGGGACTAATTATTTTGACCTTAAAATGGCTTTTAAGAAAATTAAAACTGCTTTTATTCTAGCCTAAATAAAGCAAACAAGACTTTCTCCAGAAGAAAAAATATTATCAGACATTATCTGAAAATTTACTTACTCTGTTCAACATCATTTGGGAAATATATATATATATATATATATATAAAAAAGAAACAATTTTGTCGGATTTTTTCAATATCATACAGCCCTAGGGTGTACTAATTTATGCTAGTAAAATGCTAGGGTGTACTATTATGCTAGGGTGTACTATATTTTCTTACATACAGTATTTATTAAAATATAAAAAAGAATAAGTGATCACGCTTAATGTTCTATTGTAAAGATTACTCCACAAAGTCATTTTGACCACACTTCCATTAAATTACTTTTAGCAGATAAAGCTTTAATCCGCACTCTCAAAAATGATTTCATCTGTAACCTTTTGTTTTGCCATTATCCAATAGTACAAAAAAAAAGAAAATGATGAAATCCTTGCAAAGAAATGGTCAAATCTCTTAGTGTTTTAAATGACATTGCCAAAGTATAAACACTCACCGGCCACGTTATTAGGTACACCTTACTAGTACTAAGTTGGATCCCCTTTTGCCTTCAGAACAGCCTTAATCCTTTCGTGGCATAGATTTAACGGTGCTGGAAATATTCCTCAGACAATTTGTACCATATTGACATGATAGCTTCACGCAGTTGCTGTAGATTTGTTAGCTGCACATCCATGATGTGAATCTCCTGTTCCACCACATCATAAAGGTGCTCTATTGGATTGAGAGCTGGTGGCTGTGGAGGCCATTTGAGTTCAGTGAACTCAATGTCAAGAAACCAGTCTGAGATGATTCACGCTTTATGACATGGTGCGTTCTCCTGCTGGAAGTTACCATCAGAAGATGGGTAGACTGTAGTCATAAAGGGATGGAAGTCAGCGACAATATTCAGGTAGGCACAATGCTCAATTGGTACTAATGGGCCTAAATTGTGCCAAGAAAATGTCCCCCACACCATTACAACACCACTACCAGCCTGAACCGTTGATACAAGGCAGGATGGAGCCATGCTTTCATGTTGTTGAGATGCTCTTCTGCATACCTCAATTGTAACGAGTGGTTATTTGAGCTACTGTTGCCTTTTTATCAGCTCAAACCAGTCTGGCTATTCTCCTCTGACCTCTGGCCTCAACAAGGCATTTGCGCCCACAAAACTGCTGCTCACTGGATATTTTCTCTTTTTCTCTGTAAACCCTAAAGCAGGTTGTGCATGAATATCCCAGTACATCAGCAGTTTCTGATGCCAGCAGTCTGTTTGGCACCAACAACCATGCCATGTTCAAAGTTACTTAAATCCCTTTTCTTCCCCATTCTGATGCTTGGTTTGAACTGCATGTAGACTTGACCATGTCTACATGCCTAAATGCATTGAGTTGCTGCCTTGTAGCTGATTAGAAATTTGTGTCAATGAGCAGTGGGACAGGTGTACCTAATAAAGTGGCCGGTAAATGTAAATTTAAAAATCTTTTGCTATTTAACTCATTTAATGCTACTCAAAATACAAACTTTTGGTTATCTTCTGTAAATCATGGTAAAAATGTTTGAGTTTTTATTATTTTTTGATCAAATAATAATCAAATCGAACAGAAAGCATTAAAGCTGTATTACACTGTTTCTGATTTGATCCTTGTGATACTCCTGCACATTTGCAGGGGCATCCTACATGTTTAAGCAGCAGCTTTAGATTAGTATGTGTCTCGTTTGGTTTATTTTCTCTTCAGACAGCAGATAAAACAATTACTTCATCTGTGTCATTGTGCCTAGAGTGGCTAAAAGATGCAATTAGACCTTCACTTTGTGCTAATGTGGTTATCTGAGACCAATAGCGTTAAAAACTGCTGCTCTCAGACCTTCAGTACAACTGATGACTGTGAGAAAAAAAACATACTGTCCTTTTTTTTCTTCTTTATCTTCCAGGCCATGCAGGGTTTTGTCGACTGTGTTGTACCAGTATTTTTGCGCCTTTCCTCCTAGCTGTTCATTGATTTATTCATTTTCATAGTTTGATTGTTTCGCCCTGTCCTTTTCGATCTACTAATTCTCTGCTTCTCTTTCTTTACAGCATGTTTGCTGCAGTCAGAGTTGGTGAATTATGAGCGGGTGAAGGAATATTGTTTGAAGGTCCTCGGACACCAGCAGGATCACTTTAAGGCCATGTATCGAGCTGGGATTGCCTTCTATCACCTGGGGGACTATGAGTGTGCCCTGCGTTACCTACGTGATGCCAAGTGCCGTGAACCCACAGGTGGGCTTAGTTTTTGCTTTTTTAAGTAACAAATATGCTAATGAGTCTCAAATCATTCCATCATCAACCAAATTTCATACTGAATCCATGTAGTGACTTATTACTACTTAAATTGTTTATTTTAGAGATTCACCAATATAAAAATTCTGCCTGATATTAATTAGTATTGTCATGTAATGGCTATTTTTTGTTTATCAAATAAAGCATACAATCAATTGTTTTAAAGAGGACCTATTGTGCCACTTTTTACAAGATCTCTGTCTCTGATGTGCTTAGAGTGTGCATGTGAAGTTTCAGCTCAAATTATGCCACAATTAACGTTTTATAACTCTTTGAATCTGCCCCTTTTAGACTTGATGCTAAATATGCTATTTTGGTGACTGTCGCTTTAAATTCAAATGAGACTGTGCTCCCAGCCTTCTGTTTAAAAGAGGGCGGAGCTACAAATGCCTTTGTGTCAGCGTAGAGGCAGATTCAAAAACAAGACTAACGTCCTTAGCTAACGAGGGAGAGATCACCAATTGAAAGGTATTCTCACTCTGATGACACATACAAACGGAGAAGGTCAGTCAAAGTGTTACAGACTGTTTTTATCAAGTTTGATCATAAACAATGAAAAATTAATAGATTTTTACCTTCATAGGCTGGCTATATTCACAGAATGTTGCCACACAACTGTGTTTAAACCCCTTATAAAAGTGATTTTTGTATAATAGTTCCTCTTTAAAAGCTTAATTGTGCAACAAACATCTAAAACTGACCTAAAAACATGGGGATGCTTGACTAGTTAAGGTTAAACGTTTTAACAGGCATTGTTTATTGCTGTTAGTATTTCTGAAAACTTAATATTAAATATGTTTTAGTTTTTATTTTACTGTTATTAATGTAATAGTACAGGGGTCCCTCGCTATAACGCGGTTCACCTTTCGCAGCCTCGCAGTTTTGCTGATTTTTTTAGTGCAATTTGACATGCTTATTTTTTATTTATTTTTTTACAGCGCATTGTGTTCTGCTTCTTGATTAGTGCATTGTTTTCTGCGTCTTGATTGGCTGTAGACCACTGTCAATCAATCTCATATGTGTCTCCTGTAGCTTGCCAAATTTAAATAAATCTCAGATTGCTAGCAGTGTAAGTTCCAACAAGGATGTAAAAAGGGTTGTAACTGTTCACAGCAAGACCATCGTAAAGGGGTTGACACTCTGGATGTGGCTCGCCACACAGTACCGTGCAGTTTAGAATTGTAAACAGGTTTATATCAGGGTATGCGCACCAGCGCCGCATATCATATTTCTGCTGCGCCATCTGAATAATTTCATTTTAAATAACACACGAATGTGCATGTCCAGTGTGTGTTATTTCCAACTGTCAAGTGTGTGGCACATCCGCAGTGCAACCCCCTTAAGAATGGGGTCTGTTTTAGTTTTGTGTATCAGTGACTGCAGGAAAAAAATTACGCTGGATGCCAACATTCATTTTCATTTCGGTTTAGTCCCTTTATTAATTTAATAATGTTTGCGTCTGACAACAGGTTTTCCTCTTTGGTTTATTTCTACATTACTGGACTTTCTTCTACGAAAGTTTGAACTTTGAGAGTGTTTAAACAAGAGAGAAAGGTGTGAAAATGTTGAAAAAGTGTATGAAGTGTGTAGTGAGGGGTTTTACAGCCTTAAAACATCTATAATAATTGTAAAAAAATAAAGCCTACTTTGCACTTTGCACATTTGACTACTTTGCACATTTAGAATGTAACTCCCGTGATATTCGAGGGATCACTGTAATCAGTTTAAACACTTCAACTTAACTGCTAAGATATAGCTTATTTTTTCTTAAATCTTGAAACTTTTTTTAAACTAAATTCACTAAATTTTGAGGATTTTATGCAGTACTAAAATGTGGAGTTTTTTTGTAATTCTGTGTTCGCGTTTTTAGGAGGCTAAAATGGTGGCTTGTTGATGCAATGGGACCTCTGAAGTTATTAACAATACTTTATTAATAGCCTAACTTTATTTTGCTAACTTGGATGAAAGGAAGAAAAAATATATATAAAATATATATAACAGTTGTTGGCTGAGTGGGATGAGGTTGAATCTTGAGAACCCAGTCAGTTGGATTCTGACTCTGGAGGCCCAAACGTGGTTGTATAAAGTCTATTAAGCTAATGTTACTAGATATAGCATAGCATCAGTGATATTATGTTTTTGCCATGGTTTCCAGGTTAAGGAACATTCCTGGAAAAGGGTGTATAACGGTGTTGAACAGTGCTTAAGATATGTTTTTTCGGTCACACATTACAATAAGGTTCATTAGTTAATGGTAATTAATGCATTTACTAACATAAACAAACAATGAACAATACATCTACTACTGTATTTGTTCATGTTAGTTAACGTTAGTTAATGAAAATACAGTAGTTCATTGTTAGTTCATGTTAACTTATGGTGCATTAACTAATGTTAACAAGTATGGACTTGGATAAATGCTATACATTTGTTGTTTATGATTAGTTCATGTTAGTAAATGCATTAACTAATGAACCTTATTGTAAAGTGTTACCGTTTTTTCTTGTTTGATGGATGTGTCAAAAATGACAGCTCAATCAGCATCAACATGCATATAAACCACAGGGAATTAAAGAGACTGTTCACTCAGTGGGTACAAGATCAAGTAAATTGTTTGCTACTGTGCTCTAGACACTGATTAATGTTACACTAACGTATATTGATATTTATGTATTATGTAGTAACACTTTCATCAATGTTTCAAGACTGTTCTGATTATACAATTAAAATATTATACAATTGTACAACAGTGATCAGTAATAAGTCTAATACTTTCAATAAAAATAATACGGTCATATAAATCATTACATAATCTCAGAGGTAATTGAATTATCCTCCACCAGAAATGTTCACTTTCATCCTTTTCATTATGATAATCAGTGTCCACTTCTCTTCACTTGATTGCGTTGTCCTTTTTTTGGATGGCATGGGCAGTGACTTTAATATTGAGTGAATTTTGCAGCGATTTCATTGGGCTTTAAAAATTCTTCAAAAAGCACATAGAGAGTGGCCTTCTCAGCTGTCAAAGGTGCTCAACACTCCACAATTTCCATTTAAAAACATTTAGCAAAGTTTTGTCAGGGGTGAATGCAGCCTATATGTTCAATTCAGAAACTGTTGTTATAAGCGACACTGGTGGTTATTCAGCGAACTGCAGCAAGCAAATTATGTGACTTAAACGGCACCTATTTTAACCCTTTTTCAAGATTTAATTTAACTGTAAAGTTTCACCTTAGCATACCCATCAGATTATTTATATAGTTACAAATCTGGGAAATTGGAGCCGTTAAACATTGTAGCAGTTTTTGTTGCCTGTGCCTTTAATGCGAAAGGTTTTCCCCACCCACCTTTCCCACATGCATGTCAGAGCAGTAGCCCATACGTAGACAAACAGCACAGTGACAGACAAAACTGAAGCAGATCCCCCTTACTACAGTAAGAACTTTCCCAACTGTAATTTGTTATATTTATTGTGGAGTTAATTCAAGCCTTTCTGCAACGATGAGTCACACACAATGTCGTTATAAAGTTAGCGCGCGTACACACACATGCTTTTTGGACTGTTTTTGTATGGCAAATTTGACCGGATACACGTTAATATTCACTGCTTTACGGACATCCGTTATGTTAATGTACAAAATAAACCTAATTAAAGTCCACAAACTGGGAGTGACACTATGCAGCTATGGTGATGAATTAAGAAACTATTACGTAGCTGTTTTAAAAACATTTTAAACTTATTCTTGATCACATCTGTTGATGATTGATGATCACAGAGAGCTGAACAGATCTTTTAAACCCAGTTACTTTGCGCATGTCCTGTCTTGTGGATATGATCATACATTATGCGTTACTACTAGGGTTGGGCATCTAAGCTATAATGCCGATCCGATACGCATCTCGATACAAAGAATACGATCCGATATATTAGCGATACATTTGTGACATATTGCGATGCAACACGATACGATTCACACCCATATCACGATACGATGCGATATTTCAGCACTAACTAATTAGATCAAGTTTATGAGATGATGTGAAAGAGGATGCTGTGCCATTGAATGAGTTTGATTATTTATAAACCAAGCAAAACCAAGACTTTTTTTTACAAACTGGCTCTTCTCTCAGAGCCAGAGTGTCAGTTTACAGTAGAGGGCCATTTTAGAACATACAGCACATAATATTTAAGTATTTTCAAGATAAACAGAATGTATAAGTGCAATATATATTAAAAATATATATATATATATTTGCACTCTTTCAACATAAAGGTTTACCATTGCACAACAAGAATTGTGATATAACTTTTCAACTATGAAAACAAGTTTTACAAAGATATTTTGCCACTGATTATTCAAAACTTAAGGTTGTGAACTAGCAGTGTTATGCTGCTTTGAAACATCACTGTCACTGTAAACAACAGGCTAATAAAAATATTAAAAAACAGCAATCTTCTTGCTGTGAGGTGGTCAAACTACCCACTGTGCCACCGTGACACCCATTATTTTTATCATTATTATTATTAATATTATTATTATTATTATAATTAAATAAAAATAAACAGGAGGAGGTGTTTAAAACCTTCGTTCTCTGTGACACTAGGCTGAATATCTTTGCAGATGAACAATGCAATAGCATTCGTTATTGGCGTAGAGCGCACAAAACTGTTGCGCACGGAAAAAAAAACTTGCAATGCTTTTCTCACCACTTTTGGAGCTGGTTGAAGCAGTGCGAAAGCCGGGGATGCAGAAACACTGGAAGATGCTTTCACAACAACACCGTGGCGCCGCTTCAAGTGAGATTTCAGATTAGTCATACTGCCCGCGTATTTTACAGACGCGCGGCACATTTTGCAAATTGCATCTGTCCTGTCATGTCGTCCATCCTTAAATCCATAATGTTGCTTGCCATACTTTAGATTTAAAACTCAGTGAGGAATAAAATGTTTGTTTTGCTTCTCGCGCTTTCTGAGGGCGCTCCACTAGCTTCATCTGCACACCTGATACACTGAGTTGTAGTGTAAGTGTACACAACCGCAAATCCTTTGCTAAGGCTTACTTTATGTAGGTCGATTAAATTATGCGCCAAAAACAGGTTGACAACACTTGTTAATAAATAAAAAATACATTCTATATTAAAAATATATGCTGTATCTCGGAAAAATCGATGCATCTCGCAAAAACCGATGCATCTCGATTTGCTTCCAAAATTTCATTCATCCTCTGCTGCTCAACCGATGCACTCGCATCGTGCACGCGCATGACCGCGTATCGATACATATCGATGAATCTTCCCATCCCTAGTTACTACAGAGACATGCTAATATGCATCTGTCAATCAATTCGGTGGGCGGGGAAACTGCACTCCTACATCACATTGTGGTGGGCCAAAAAATGGGAGGGATTTGGATCCTAAAAAAGAGACTTATAGTGTTTCTATCACTCCAATATGACAGTGATTAGCTTACAAAAGATGATTTCAGGGATTCTCAAACTATTTTATTCCGGGACCCATCTAGGCAAGTAATTCAATCTCAAGACCCACCATAATATTTTATCATGGAAAAATGGGTAAAAAAAATTTATCCATTCAAAGCAGTCCAAAATATATGGTGTGCGGCTTTTTGGATTTTGCGATTTGATATGCACAAAATGAGGCTCGAAGTTTTTTTTTTGTGGGATGCTGGCTGTAACTGTAACTGTTTGTTGAAAAAGATACTCTTCTTTTTTCAGAAGAGAACATGATCAACCTTTGATCAAGCCCCTGGATTATGATCAAGTCACGTCACATCACAGTAAATTCCACTGCTAGTGTAGCCATAAGAAACTAAATAGCTTTTTGATCGACTACTACAAGCTGGGAAAAGGTCAGATAAATATGCCAATGCAATTAACATTATTGTTGAATAGATCTAATATTTACAGATTTGCTTGAGAAAGGAATGATGGGGGTAGTTACATTACTATTACTATTTTCCATAACATCTATGCCCTTCCATAACATTAGCTGACGTTAAAACTAACAGATAGCACAATAGCTATTTATTGATTAGCAATCTGTCAACGTTGGTATGTAAAAAATATGGGACAACAAATAGCTTCAAATGATAGAATATATAGCAAACATTAGAAAATATTGACAATAAAATAAAAGGTTTAGCCTATTAAAATCAATGGCCTATCCAGAAATTAAATAAAGCTATAAAATCTATTTCACTTTTGATTGTATTTGCATATTGATTAAAGTTGCTATAGTTATTTAGTGAAGAGCAGCAAATGAATCTCTCGTGTTTTGTTTGATAACAGAGGTGTTCATGTACGAAGAGCACTGTTTGTGCTCATTTAAGAGAAAATTAGTAGTGTTTAAAATTAAACACGCAGGACGGAGCAAAAAAAAACAAAAAAAAAAAAAAACAATCCCTTACTGAGAGCTCCGCTCTGCGCGAGCTCTCCCGGCTAAACGCAGATTGCGAGAGCTCAAACGGAGCAGTGCTTGTAATGTCGAGCGAAAAAAAGGAAAAAGACAGCTGTGAAACATAACCAGCTTTGTCTTTTTGTAGGAAACACACTTTAGATATTTTTAGGGTAAGAGGTTTTTAAGTTATTGCCTGCAATTGTACTGGTTTTGATTCACCGCAATATAACTATAGCTGCAGCTATGTGACGTTCCGCGACCCACCTTTGTTTACTGTGCGACCCACTAGTGGGTCGCGACCCACAGTTTGAAAACCCCTGATTTACATCATAGGTGCCCTTTAGGGTTCTATATATTTACAGTGCAGTTATTAAAAAAATGTTTTACAGATAGGTAACCATCGACACTTCTAAAAGTGACATTCAAATTACTTTTATATAAACAACAAAATGCAAATAAATATGTTAAATTATTGGATATAACCTCTTCAATGTTGTTAAGAGCATTATAAACTCTTGTTTTTATTTATATTATTGACATGTTTAACTCCTGAGGCTAATCTATTTAATCTGTTTCATCCTCTTTCATCCAGACACAAACGTGTTGCGATACATCCAGCTGACGGAGATGAAGATGAGTAAGAGCGTTCAGCAGGTGCGTGAGAGTGGGAAAGAGTCATTGGGTTAATTCAGCCTGACGCCCATTCATGCCACGTCCAAACCTTGATAGAAACCCTCTCTCTTCAAATCTTTGCCCCTTTTTCCCCCGTTCTTTGGACAACAAGGCTCCGTGTGCTGCGTCGCTCTCTGAAAGTAACTGGAAACAGGCACACCAACAGCACAGACTTGCTCTGAGATCTATCTGTCCCTTTAAATCCAACGTCCCCGGTGCTTTTCTTTTCCCAGGTATTGAGAATCTGACTGACGAACGAAGAACACGGAAGCGGCGAAAGAAGAAACGCTGTATTATAATCATATAAACAATGGGGGTGTGACATTACAATTTAAAGCTACACGAGCGAAAAAGGATATTAAAAATGTGTGTATGTGTTTAAGGAAAAACATGGGTGGGTGTATTGAGTATGTAGGAAGAGAAATAGAGCGAAAGCACACGTATCAAAGCCACACGGCTATTTGAGTGTCGATAAGGGAGGCCAACCGTGACCTTTGAACTCCATTGAGAATCAGAGGAGATGCAATGTTTGACGCAAGATCTCGTTTAACTCGCCTGCCAATGCCTGTTACTTTCTCCTTTTCCTCTCTCTTCAATTTAGGCATATCTCTCGACTTATTTCTGAACTGTTTCAATTCAAGGGCTAATTCAAGTGTTTGTGATTTGTCCTTTGATATCAACTTTGTTTTTTCTTCTCAGTTTGGCTGTACTATAGTGGTTTCTCTTTACCTTTCTCAAAGGTATACAACATCCTCCGTACTAATGTTAGCAGGTGTTTTGTGAACCTTGTTGTCCAACTCCCTTGTACTGAACCGTCTCAAAGCCCCTGCCCCTTTAAGAAGATGATGTCACGATGGTTATGCTGCCTGGTGTAATACTATACCTAATGGAGCCATATTGAAAACTCTTATATTTCTACATGAAATGGGATCAGTTGTATTTGAGTGCTTGGTAGAGGTCTGCAAAGCTTATGAACTAGTATATCTACCCCAAAACACAGTGTTACAATACTGTAAGCTGTAACTAATGGGGAAATTGCTTTTTATTTTGACAACCATTAATGTTTTTATGAAAAGTGTTGAAGGGTTAGTTCAAGTCCCATGTTGTTTCAAACCCATAGAAGATATGTTCATCTCTAGAACACAAATTAGAATATTTTAATCAAAATTAAGTGATTTCTGTCCTCAGTTTAAAGCTAGCAAGAATGAGTGAGGTTTGGTTACGGCAGCTTTTTTTTGTTGTTCACTGATCAATGTTTACTATAAATGAGACTTAAAGCCAAAATCAATTCTATTCCTCATATAAAGCAACCCTGTAGAGCACTTGGATTAATTCACTCAAGAGTTGGATTAGTTCACATTTTCAAGAGTCACAGTTTTGGGTTTACTTTCAATCGATAGACAGAAATCTCAGTAACACTTTAGTTTAAGGACCAGTTCTCACTTTTAACTAGTGATCATTACCTTTGTTTTATTAAGATATTGGCTGTTTATTTTTACTGATAAAGTACATATTCTACATGATCTTATATTAATTCATAATCCTACCCAATATATTAAACTTACTACATTAATAACTATTAATAAGAAATTAGAAGTTTGAGGCAAAAGTCATTACCAGTGCTTCCCACACGTAGCCTTTACTTGGGTGGGCCGCCCAGCTATATTAACAGTCGCCCAAGTGTATTTGGTGGTGACACATGAATAATAGACATGGGCCAGTATAAATTTCCGACCTTGGGTATCACAGTATTGTGATTACTGCTCTAAAATAAGTTATTTTTAATTGTCTGAGTAAAAAAAAAAAACTACAACAATTATATTTGGTAAACATTGATAATATTTTGGAACAGTAAAAATTTCAGGCTAAATAATTAAAATAAAATATTGACTTCTGCTGTTTTCATTAATTTCAAAAACAGATTTTTTTTTACAACATATAAATACATAAAAGAAACACTTACAAATACCTCAGGAATGGTATAACAGAACATTTTAGCAGTTTTAAAACTTTTAGCGGTTCCCAAACCGATGTAAACATTGAAACTGGTTATCATTCCATGCCTAATGAATAATACTATTTCAAACATCCTTTTACACTTTTTTGTGTCCGTCTAAGAAAGCCAAACTTTTATGACCGATTAACCAGTGGAAAATCTTTTCTAGCGCATGAACTGTCAACACTTACACAGACAATCTCACGTGCTCTCCAGACCCACAAAGATGCGCCTTTTGCACCAAAATGCATCCGATCGTTGTTTCTGAATTTTAAAAATGTCCAGGATTCAGCTTCTACTTTCGCTTTCTAAAGTTGCCGTTATTTGTGTGTGTTTTTGCATGACCTTTTCGCAGCTGACTGCGCATGCACAGCTATGAAAGAAACATTAAATAATTATTCATTTAATAATTATAATAATAATAAACAACTTAGATAAACTACTGTATATTCAGAGAGAACAAAATATACTGGCTACAAAATATTTGTGCACCATTAGAAATGGTCAATCAAGTAATTTGCATATTTTAAATAATCTTCACTTTTTTATTCTAGTAATTGTTTTAATTTTTAGCAATAATGTCTATTTTTATTCCTTTTTCTGGTATTTATTTCTCATTTGTTGTACATTTTATTAATTTAATGATGTAAATATATTACTTTATACATATATATGATGCTTTGGCAATACTGTAAATGCCCTGCCAATAAAGCAACTTTAGAGAAAGAGAGAGAGAGGGAGAGAGAGAGAGAGGGAGAGAGAAAGAGAGAGAGAGAGAGAAAGAGAGCAGCCTTTACCTGTCAGTGGGTGCACATGGCTCCTAAATAGCATAAAAGTAGGAGAAATATTGGATTTCTTTTATATCAACAGCCTTTTTTAATAACTTTAACCCATTGAAAATGTGTATAACAGTGTCATAATTAATTAAAATACAGCTAAAAGTCACATTATTTTTTAGTTTGTCGAATGTAGTTGACCATTTATGTGCTGTGGGTAAAAAGCGTGTTTCAATCAGGCTACCATCGCAAGTATATTTTACCTGTGGGAAGCACTGCGTAACTAATGGTTAGCCATAACAAGAATAGTACCTTAAATTAAAGTGTGACATCTTCATTTGTGTTCTGAAGTTAAACAAAGGTCTTCTAAGTCTGGAACAACATGAGATTGAGCAAATGATGACCGAATTAACCTTTTCCAGGGAACTAACCCTTTAAAAATGCGTCCTCCTCTAAATGTTATGCTTTGTTCTGAAAAACCTTGATGATGTTTTATTCATTAAGGCATCGTCTCCAATGAATTCACTTAAATGTGCAGATGCCTTTGACAGCACATGTCATTCTGAGTCTAGGTTGGATTCGTAATTTTGAAGAGATGGGGACAGACAGATGGAATTATCCATCTGACCTAATATCAGGCAGAGATTTAATTGTGTCAGTGGGACTCTGGGGATGTTGTGCCATGGATTCAGATGAGAAGACACACTGATGGGATTCAGAACACATTTCAGGCCAAACCACCGCAACTAATGTCTTTGTTGTATCTTTGCTAATGTCCTAGAGGAAACTAAAGAGCATAAAAATAAGGTGTATTCAGATGTTTTATACATACAGTGATTATAGATTAAATAAAACACTCACATAAAATCAGAACTCCAGTCACATCAGTTGTCTAATAATATTAATAAAAGGATTATCTTATGTAAAAATAACAATAAACATAATAAGTTAATTATTATATAGTACTGTTGGTGGTTCTTAAGGCACGAAATAAATTACATGAAAAATAAGTGATCAGCTGTCAATAAACAAACTTTATACATCCACACCTGTAGGTGTCAGTATACACTAGTACAGAATAACTAATGAAAAGCAAACCAAAACATACTGAGTGCACCTTTTAATGCTCAAATTAACTCCTGTCATGAACAGACTGACAAGAGACATTCCATGATCTCTTAAAGTATTAGAGTGCCAGTCTATCTCATGCGAAATCATATAACTATTTTACAAGCTGGCAATTCCGTATGAATTCATACAATGTGATCCATACAATGTGGTGATTTTTTTTTTATAAAGTTAGCATGAAGGTCATGTAACCCCACAGTATGCTTTAGATTTTAAGCAAATGTTGTCATGCACAAAAGCATGCACATGCTAGTTTTTCCATTAATTGGTTTGTCCACAAGGTGACAACACTTTTATGGGTTTTTTATTGACAGTTGGAAAAGGAGCAAAGATGGAAGAACAACAAAACGCACTGCGTTCCATTTGGTATCGGCTCATCCCTATGCCCTAATCCAGAGATGTCAAACTCTATTCCTGGAGAGCCGCAGCTCTGCAAAGTTTAGTTCCAGCCCTGCTTCAACACACCTATCTGTAGGTATCAGACCTGCTTCAAAACACACCTATCTGTAGGTATCAAACAAGCCTAAAGGATTTCATTAGTTTGATTATGTTAGTTTAATTAGGGTTGGAACTAAACTGTGCAGAGCTGCGGCCCTCCAGGAACTGAGTTTGACACCTGTGCCCTAATCCCTTCCAGGGTTTTATCCTCTGATATGACAATTTCCCAGGGATTAGCATTGTGCAGCACCAAACAACTTCCATGCGCAAAGGCCTACAGAATCCTGTAGTTTCCAAATCTTTGATTCCGAAAGGGGCCAGTTTTGAGTATTTGATTTTGAAATGACACTTCAATATGGCGGCCATGAATGTTTTCAATCCAAAGTCCCCTTTGAAGGGCAATATATCCCATTTGGAACGCACTAAAATTACTTGAAATAGTGAAAACAATAGAAGCCAATCCTGATGAATGCTTTGTGATAAATGCACAGTAACAAATGCTTACACACAACTATAGTTTCAATGAGTTCAAATGCAAACACTCACGGTGCCTGGAAAGAAATAAAAGGCCATTTCTTTTAATGCACACGCTATGAAATGAAATAGATTCTGTGTGATTGTATACTAGCATAAGCCTAAACTAAATATACTATGGGCTTGAACTCATCATCCATGGGTCAAAAGCAGATCATACAACTGACGATGTAAGAAATTCATACAAATTCAGTTGACCAAAATCTAAAATAGTTTTAGATTTCCATGAGAGTCGGCTGTTCTGACACTTTCCTCCTTTACAGCTCTGTTTCTTGTCTGTACTCTGTTCTATGGCAGTTCTCCAACCTACCGTTGATATGTTCTTATTGATTTCCGTGAATGGTTATCTTGTCTATAACAGAGCAATGCTGACAATACCGACGTGTCCTGCGTGTGGCATCTCGGTCTTCACCTTTGCTTCTTTCAGATGTAGTCCATATGTCCCCTTGTGCTGGATCACTCTGTCTGCACAGATGGAGAAACATCAGATGGAGTCAAACAACATAAGCACAAACTGGTTTATGGACAAAGCAAATAAACTTCCTGTACTTTACTTTTTTCTTGGATGTCACTTGAGGTATGTGTTTGTTGAATGTCAATGTA